TATCCATCTTTGCCTATGATGCTTGTTCCACTTAATGTTGGTTTCATGTACATTGGACCAAATAAAAGCAATCAAATAAATCAATGAGTAGTACAGTGAAAGCATAAGCATTGTAGTTAATGTAATTATTGTGATTGAGTTTTGTCATCTTTAATATACAAACTGGAACAGTTCTAATAACTTCATTTCACCATCCTATTTGTCCACTATAGTCTTTTGTATCTAAGCAAATCGAATTAATTTAGATATTTCGTTCATCATATCAATCAATGGTTTATTGATGTATCTTTGTATCTTATTAGGTAAAATGGCTAGGATAAGATTTAAATCTTTTAATGATACAAATTTTCCTAAAGTTTTAGTGACAACTTCTATATATAACGATTTATTCAGCGTAAATGTCAGTATACTTGAGTACTGTCATATCAAATCAAACTTCCATGAAAACCGATAAAACAATTAATTCTGTAATTTTAATAGTTGAGATCATGAGTCAATTGAAGCTAGGTCACCATGGAAAACCTAGAAGTACTGAACGATCGTTTCATCTTATTGTGGGACTCCTCAGCAGTGCGCATCCACGATCACACCTCACGAGATTTGAACCCGGGATCTATCAGTCTAGGTTTTCCATGTTGGCCTAGCTTCAATTGACTCATGATCTCAACTATTGAAATTACTAAAATCTCCACAAAACCCCTTCTGTAATTAATTCTGTAACAGAGAATAACAATGAAAGATTGATATTAAGAGGATGAGAAAAGGAAACCATATTTTTAACTTATTATAATTCTTGTTCAACACTACTTCCGTTTATAATTCATATTGTGAATGGAATAATGACATCGTATTTCTTCATATGAAAGGTTGAAAAATCACCATGTTTAACATTAGCCATGCATATCAAGATCATATAAAAGGTTCCTTCAATCATTATGAATATCCACACACCCCAATACTCTCATATAATGGAGGTGTTAGTAGTGTTGAGATAGTTCAGGTCAATAAAGTCACATTATTTGTAATGTGAGTATATGAAAAACTAACATTGTTTCGTTGGGGGTAGGGCAGGAAGAATCATATATGATCAGTTTAGGGGTTGTGGAGATTGTTAAGTTTTTGATTGAAATCATGAGTCAATTGAAGCTAGAGCACCATGGAAAACCTGGAAGCACTGAATGGCCGTTTCGTCCTAGAAGCCGTGACCAGTGGAGCTAATCCGTGTCGGGTAGAAACAGGTGTCTGCTTCAGTACAATGGAAGATGGTCGCGCAATTTCGTGGATTGGTTGAGGTTAGACATTAACACTACTGAATGCTGGCTCAGTGGTCTATTTGATTAAGCGCCTGGCGCGAGACTAATAGGTACTGAGTTCGAATCCCGCGGGGTGTAGGATCGTGGATGCGCACTGCTGAGGAGTCTCATACTAGGACGAAACGGCCGTCCAGTGCTTCTAGGTTTTCCATAGTGGTCTATCTTCAATTGACTCATGATTTCAATCAAAAAATCATATATGAATTGAACGAAGGAGCAAATTATAGAAGATGCTGGATCACAACCCTATGGTCGGCAAAGATCTCGCAGAGTACAAATAGACTCTCCAGGAAAAAACTTATACTTACGTATTCCATTAAAAAAAGTGAAGAGAATGTAATATGACGGGATTAAATGGAAAAAAAATTAGATTCGTTTGCTCATTATGATTCTTACTCAACATAAGTTGAGTATATGTAATATGTGTGATTTTATTCTAATTAATAGTCAAAATGAGTATCCAATCAATATATAGATTGAATGTATTCTCAACTAAGGTTGTCGTTTAATAAATCTTCTCTTGTATCAATTTTGGTATTCTTACTTCATGTCATGAGGATTGCAATGGTTCTTCGTTCTTTTTTAAGATAAGAATAAGTAAAGAGGATACAACAACAAAATTAAATGATCTTTATCATATGGGTTGATATTTTTTTTTCTAAAACGGCAATCCTTTCCAGTTGTTATTTATCCTTTACATATCTGCTTCGAATTCTCGACAGAGTGTGTTCTATGATGTACCTCTTTTCCATTTCCCTTCAGGATTCCAAGTTAGTACTTGCCTCATGATGCTGTTTGATGATTTCCGTAATGTATGTCTTATCCATTTTCATCGTCTTTTTCTAATTTCCTCTTCAACTGGAAGTTGGTTTGTTCTCTCCCACAGTAAACTGTTGCTGATGGTATCCGGTCAACGGACATTGAGTATCTTGCGTAGACAACTGTTTACAAATACTTGTATCTTCTTGATGATGGTTATAGTAGCTGTCGAGGATTCAGCTTCGTACAGTAGACCTGTCTTGACGCTCGTATTGAAGATTGTGACTTTGATATTGATTGGCACTTGATTTGAGTTCCATACATTCTTCAGTTGTAGGAATGCTGTCCTTGCTTTTCAATCATCGACTTTACGTTTGCATCAGATCCTCCACGTTCATTGATGATACTTCCCAGGTAAGTGATACTTTCCACCTCTTCTCCGTGTTGTATTTGAAGATTTTGCTTTTTCCATTATGAATGTTGAGGCTTATTGATGCTGATATTGCTGGTACACTGTTTGTCTCCATCTGAATTTGTTGATGTGTATGGGATAGAACGGCCAGGCTATCTGCGAAGTCCAAACCTTCTAATTGATTCCCAGCTGCCTATTATATTCCTTGTTTCCTCTCAGATGTCGATGTCTTCATAATCCACTTAATAATTCACTGAACTCAAAGTTTGTAAAAACACTAGCAGTTGCTTTGGTTCTTAGATTAGTTTATAAACTATGAGCTTTCGTTTGATATATGATTCATTGCCATATCGTTTTCTTTTCCAAAGCTATGGTAATTTAAACGTAACCTTTGCTACTCTATTTTCCTACCTTAATGCCTAGTTTGAACATAATTGTATTTTTCTAATTTTTTGTGGGGTTGTGATCATGTTAATCATCTATTTATTCACGAATCTGATCGCACTAACCTGAATTAGAAATTGGAAATAAACCGAGTACTATTCCATTGAACTCGTCTTCTCTTTCTTGGTTGTTAACCATTTAGGTGATAGAATGGTTTCATCTCTCTGACTAAGGCCCTTTCTAACTTCAAGATTTAACCAGTTAGTTTATCGTGTCAAAGCCTTAACCTATATTGAGACAAGTTTCCTCCTGTATATTATTGAGTAGACAGATCAACGATGTAATAGTGTTGCAGTCCAAGATCTCGATCTCATCTTTGTTGGGGACGTTAGATCCCCAGAACTCATTTGGGAAAGCACCTAATCTTGTAATTTTATCTGGAAAATTTGAATTTCTTTATTTTCGCGCTGAAGACGCTCTTATCACCTTCATGTTATATTTCCCACAGGGAAATATCTTAAATACTATTGGTCCGTTGCGTCTTTTAGTATGCTATTAGGTAACTCTCCCTGAGGACGGTTTTGTACTGTATATACACGTTTTGATTTGTGTTTGTTGTTATCGCTCGTTTTTGGCTGTTTGCAGAATATGCTTCCCTATTCCAAGCTTGGACTTCTTCCTCTAGTTAGCGGGGCTGAGACGACGCATCAATAGCTAACTTACTGGTCTTTGGTCACCGAGTCTTTTTTCTCGTTCGCAGATTAAGTGAACTCGTGATAGCTTCAACCTTAGCAATCTTTATTACTCGTCAGTTAGATGTGCCTGTATTACTGCTCTTAATATGTTTTCTGTCGAAGTAAAAAACAAAAGACATAATGTGCTGAGAAGTAAGTCCAGTTGAAGATTGTCAAATAGAACGAATTAAGCTATGTAAAGTTACGTTCCAGCTACCTATTGAATATAAAATGATCACAATACAATAATGTTATATTTGTGATATTCAGTAGGGTATACATTTGAATTTTTGACGTTTAGTAACTTAGCTTAAGTCACTTCTTCAAAGTAAACAAGTAACCGAATTAACATTATTCAACAATTCACAGGAACAAGGCAGAATATTAACCTTAATCAAAATCAAGTGATGGTCTAGCTTCAATTGACTCATGATCTCAACCGTTGAAATTACTATAATATCTACAAAAAACCCTTCTGATTTGAATCGACAACTGCTCATTAGTGATTGGCTTCAAAAGGTTATATCCTGGAGTTTTAGTGAGAAGTAGTGACCAGTTGATTTTAACCGGGTCTGTTATGAGATAGTAACTCACTGAAGACAATGGTGGATGGTGGTGCTCAATTTTGTGGATTGGTTGAAGTTAGACATTAACACTGTTGGATGCCGACCGGCTCAGTGGTCTTGTGGTTAAATACCCGCGTGTGAGACCGATAGGTCCTGGGTTGGAATCTCGCGAGGCGGTATCGTGGATGTGCACTGATCAGGAATCCCACAATAGGAAGAAACAGTCGTCCAATGCTTCTTAATTTTCCATTATGGTCTAACTTCAATGGGCTCATCATCTCAACCATTGAAAAGTCAAGTTGGTCCAACTAAATCAATATCATGTGAATATAGATAAGTACAAATCCATAGTGAAAAAAAAACGAATCGAAAGGAAATTTCTCCTCTTGATAAATTATAATCTCACGAAATTCCCCACCACCACCACCACCACTACTAATACCCATCTTTCTTTAATGTTTTATAGAAAACATTTTAATCGGATCCTTTTCTTCTTTTTTTTTCCTTTTTATTGCCTATACAATAAATTATTCCCTAGAAATAGAACAAAATCTTATTATTGATTGTTTGTTGTTGTAGAAAATTCCTATTTTCATAATTAATAATAATAATAATATCGGAAATCAATAATCCTAAATAAACAGGATAAACCAATCATTTTGTTTCAATCAAATGAACCAATGAAATTAAACATGTTAAAAGTCAATTTGTGATTAGTCCATTCTGATTGGTTATTTTTATAAAAACAAACAAACAAAGGTGGGTATATCATATGATCATTCAAAATTCAATATGATTTAATCAACATTTCAATTTACATTTATAATCCATCATGTTAAAATCATTATTTTATCGATTATTGATTATTATTCAATTAATCTTATTATTATATAATTATGATTGTCAATGTTATGAATTATCAGAACAATTATTAATTAAACAATTATTATCTAATTATGAAATAGCTAGTAGACCAATTCAATATGGTAATGAAACATTAAATATATTTCTATGTATTATATTAAAACAAATTATTGATTTAGATGAAAAAAATCAAATCTTACATACATCTTTATTAATACAATTGAAATGGATTGATGAAACAATTCAATTAAGAATGTTACAATTATATGATTTATATCATAGAAACAATACTATTAATGAATTAAAAACTTATTTCCAAGTCTTGTATTACCATCATCACGTATATGGACACCAGATTTATATGTATATAATAATGCAGATGATGGAAAGAATGGTTTATTAGATGTATCACATAGTCGAGTACGAGTTAGTCAGAAAGGTAAGCTTTTTTGGTGGTGGTGGTGGTGCGGTTTTTTTATAGTGCACATTTTGTATAGGGTCATGATGAGGTTAGACATGAACACCATTGGATGCCGGTTGATTCAATGGTCCAGTAGGTTAAGTGTTCACGCGCGAGACTGAAGGTGATAGGTTCGAATCCTGCGAGCGGGATCGTAGATGTGCACTGCTGAAGGGTCCCACAATAGTGATTCCAGGTTTTCAGTGATGGTCTAACATTATCAATCGGTTTATGATTTCAATCAAAAGCTTATAAATCTCCATAACCACTAAACTGATAATTTTTTAAATGTTTATGAAGGTTATCTCATCAATTGAATAGTTAATATGAATTGTGAATATAAATATTGTTTCAAAAGTCATGAAATTGTTTATTAAATTCATTAGTTTCTATTTATTTATTTAGGCATATAAACATTGGTACAAGGAGGTACCAAATAGATATGTGCCGCACAAATCATATGATTTGTATGACGGCTGTGATATTGCCTAGGTGTTCAAATCGAAGCAGGTGGTTTTCTTAAATGGTCACACCGGATCCTTTGACCTAAAGGTTTAATCCTTAAGGCAGTGGAGCAATCAAAGGAGATGCAGTTGCATGGTAGCCAGTGACCAAAAATAGGTTCATATGTCAGTTGTTCCTTTAGGATACTGGAACTCATGTGCAACACTGGTTTTGAATTAGCGTTTTTCAACTCTCCTATGTGGACTCTCTGTGTTCACCAACTAATTTGAAGCACCGAACACTCGTCTTTCGTCCTTTCAATTTTGTAAACAACAGTAATGTCATGAGAAGGCAGTGAATAGAACTTCTCTGACAGTAGCTGTATACGCGTGGTCATGCAAGAGGGAGAGCTGACCCTCCCCACTCTCGGTGGTACCAGAACATTTGGGGGCTTTGTGTTTCATTCATTATCATATTTTATGAACCATTCAGAATTTATTCAAATTCCACTTTAACAGTTAATGATACAAAGTTATTTGACTGTATGACTTAAAAGATCTGTTACGTGTTGTCAATCTTCAAACCTGTGTCTTTAGTCTTTACTTACAATAATCTCATGAGCTACTAATCCTATTTTTTAAGACATATTAGACAATGATGTTTGAAAAAAAATTAGCGCTTATTTGATTGTAGTATCTCGGTTAATCAGATCAAAGCGAATGGATATTTATCAACCAAAAATATCAATTTGTGGAAAATCAATTTTTAGTTCATCATTCGAGAGGGGCTTCAATGGTAACTGTTTCGAAAACTGGGTTAAGTTAATTGAGTTGATACAGCTCTCTCTCTCTCTCCATAAAATTAACAGGATATAGCAACTCATGAGAATATAAACTATACGCACATACTTCCATATAAAGCAGCAAGATAGAATTGTCATTTATCAATACCTAAGTAGAAATACAATAATATATTTCCTGTAAAGGTTTACACAGTTAGAGCCATTCGATTTGCCCTGAATTGGTTAAAGACAACACAATCCCCTCTGAGATCGATGGTTCATGGCTCGAGTCTTGATGAATTTATGAGATTGCAGTGTTGAATGTATCGCATACTATACCGAAACAATGGCTATAAATACATGTAAAGTTTAAAAAGGTATAGTCAGTTGTAACAATAACTGTGAAGCATTCTCTATGTTCATTGGAAATGATTATTGCAACCAATATTTTGATGGCATTATCAACTAATCATCAACAGCAATCTCATACCATCATTAGAATAAATCATTTAGTTCGATGAAAAACGATGTCGAATGTAACGAAAAGTAGTGTATTGAACGAGAACATAAGTGTGGACAATCGAATGTATTTGAATACAACATTACAGATTATCTTGGTAAAATCTGAGAATTATACAGTAAATACTTCATTTGCAAAATGCCAAACAATCGTCTCAGACTTCATTGTTCCTTCGTTTCCACAACAATCACTCTCTATTCCCGTTCTCTTCTCTTCAGTTTGCTTAATCTTCTACCGTTGGGCATTTCCCTTTTGATTCATGATACATACTATTTATATTTGTCAACATCAGTAGCATACACCACATTAATAATAAATGTAGAGAACAGTTAGGTGATATACGATTGTTTTAAGTTTTCTAGTTCAAAAGATTGTTTAGGTAGTACATTTTTTTCATATGCATCATCGCAATCAAAGGCCTCAACCGGGAACTATTAATTCTTTTTTAAGTTGATATTCTATCGATGTACGAACGGCATATAGTTAATTCTTATGAGTAAAGAAGATCTTAGCAGTAGTCATACACATACCCTCCCCACCAATAGGACTCAAACTTATGATCTTATAGTCTTGAAATGAGACTGTTACTTTATACCAAAAAGTTTGACTCTTTATTGGATAGTTCTCGTACTAGAGGATTCACTTATTGACTTGCAGATGATATAGTTCTGTTTATTGAAGATAGTAATAAAATCCAGAATCTTCTAATCGTATTGAGTAACAATATAAGAGTATTTAGTATGAGTTTCACTGCTTATAAATGCAAAGTGTTGCTTAAGGACCGATCTACATCGTCGCCTAGACTGGTCATAGGGAGTGAAATAGTTGAACTTGTTGACTAATCTACTCATCTTAGAGGTTTTATCACCCCTAATAAGTTGGTAACTAACGAAGTCTCACCATTTATTCAGAAAGATCAGTTAGCTTTTAGTAAGTTTCTTCATTTGTGTTGTAGGTGAGATGCTCATCTTCCAGCCAAAGAACGAGTACATTTCATGGTAGTTCACTCTGTTCCACTTCACAGCTATGAAACTTGGCTTATGAAATTGAAGGATATTTGTATGTTACTAGCGTTTGATATATAAAAATGTATTTTAAACATTGCTGACTTATTTTGAGTGTATTAAGTTAGCAATGTTGTCGTTAGACACAGGATAACAGGTAAAAATGATAAATCAGCTCATGAGGCTGTGAAATTTCTATCAGTTGAAGTTGTTGCGATATATATTATGCCTGTTCAATCACCAACTACCTTAGCACATGATACTAATCGGTGTACGAGGAAGTAGGAAGTGGGCTAGAGGTGGTCAAACTAAGATATGTCATTAGTCCATGAATGTTAACCTGGGTCATTTAGGCAGATGGAGACTATCTAGTTCAGGTCAGTATGATTATCCTAACGAATGGTTTGGGACACTGAGTGATAAGAAATAAAAGTGATTACAATGGCTCACATATATATTCACTCATTTACTTCACTTAGATCTTGAACTCCAGAATTAATTTATACCTGTTATTCAAAGAATCCACTTTTCTCGTCCCATTTTCCATATGTCTATCATAACATTTATTTTTCAAACTATTTCATTCTTATCAGAATGGAGTTTTATGTAGATTGTAGTAATTTAATAGTTGAATTCATAGGTCAATAAAAGCTAGATCATCATGAAAAACCTGGATGAATTGGATGGCCGTTTTGTCCCTAGTATGGAATTTGTCAACCGTGCGTATCCACACACGATCGCACACGCAGGAGGCAGTTAGTCATTGAAGACAATGGTGGATAGTTACACAGTAGAGTGGATTGGTTGAAGTTAAACATGAACATCATTGGATATAAGCTCAATGGTTTACCGATTAAATAATCGCGTGCAAGACTGAAGGTCCTGGGTTCGAGTCCTTTGTGAAGGATTGTGGATATGCACTACTTACCAATAGTCTCATACTAGGATAAAAGAGCTGTCTATTCATATATACCGGCTCAGTGGTCTAGTTGATAAAGCGCTCGCTCGCGAGACCAATAGATCCTGGTCTCAAATCCCACCACTAGGCGAGGTCTTGGATGCGCACTGCTGCAAAATCCCACAATAGGATGAAACGACCATCCAATGCTTCCAGATTTTTCATGATAGTCTAGCTTCATTTGACTCATGATCTCATTCATATTTTCTTTGGTAAATGAACGAATTTTTTTCTTTTTTCTCTATCTTTTCTATTATTGATTATGAAGGTGAAGTAACTTGGAATTTACCAGTTAGTATACGTAGTTCTTGTAATGTTGATGTATTATATTTTCCATTTGATCATCAATTATGTAATATACAATTAGCATCATGGATATATGATCATAGTCAATTACAATTAAATATTCTACCAATGAATACAACAATGATGTTAAATAAATTAATTGAAAATGTTGAATTAGCTGTACCAGAATTGAAATTAGTTTAAAGATTATCGTATTACTGTTGGTGGACAAAATATTACTCAAGTAAATCATCTTTTTTATTTTAAATATTGATATTACATCATGAATTGTAATAGGATAAGTGAATTTACAACTTTATCCCTTTGTACAAACAGGTAGCTAACAGGAATTTAGTAGCTATAAGTGGATAATACGATGGTATTTGAAATGAATGGTAATGTACTGGGTTCGAGTCCTAGAGTGAATATCGACTATGAGATGCAGATATATTCAGTTGACAAGTCCTAAATAGGACCACTATCAATCTTTACTTATAAAGAACTATTTTAAAGTTGAATAAGGCGATGTAAAGATGAAGGTTATTAGAATTATGTGATATATTGGTCAAGAAGCACTGGACAACGGGGCGGACAGTATCATAAAAGTTGAATACGGCATTTCTCCAGGATACTAACAAACTCAACAAATTCAAGATAGTCCTCAGCAACAAGTTCCAGGCCTTTCATGATCTACTCAATGGAGAAGGAACTACTGTGGAGAGCAACTGGAAGGGGATCAAAGAGGCAATCACTTCAACATGTCATGAGGTCCTGGGTCACAAGAAGCACCACCACAAGGAATGGATCACTGTTGATACACTGGATAAGATTCAAGAAAGGAGGGACAAGAAGGCAGCAATCAATACCAGCCGAACAAGAGCAGAAAAAGCCAAGGCACAAGCTGAATACACGGAATAAACAAACAAGTGAATAGGAGCATCAGAACCGACAAACGTAAATATGTGGAAGACCAAAGAACACATTACGCCGAAAAATGGAGATAGAAATGAGAAAAATGAACAAGAATTGGATGGAATTAGAAAAGAAGGCCCAGGACAGAGTGGGTTGGAGAATGCTGGTCAGCGGCCTATGCTCCATTGGGAGTAACAGGCGTAAGTAAGTAAGTAAGTACATTTCGAACAATCTGATCATTCATATATGAAAAATTAAAAGGTCAATCTATACAAATTAAAAGGTAAGAGGGGAACAAGAATAATAACAATAAAGTTTTTGATGGAGTTTTTTTCTCTGAGTTGGATGGTTTGGTCGTGAAGCTTTCATCGTTCTTCTAAACGACATCATCTGCACAAACTTCAGATACAAGTGAAGTGTTCGAATTTCTCCATATACGTTTCACAGCTTGTTCTGTACACCTTGACGGAGAAATTCGAATACTTCACTTCTATCTGAAGTTTGTGTTGATGATGTCGTTCAGAAGAACGATAAAACCTCTTCAACTAAACCATCCAACTCAGAGAATAAAACTCCATCAAAAACTTTATTGTTATTATTCTTGTTTCTCCCCTTACCTTTTAATTTGTATAATTGATCTTTTAATTTTCATATATATAATGATCAGATTGTTCAAAATGTACTTGACCAATATATCACATAATTATGATAACCTTCATCTTCACAATGCATTGCCCAAATTTATTGTAGGGTCTAAGTGTTTTATATTTGAATAGGTCTATTATTGACTTTGATATTCTTCCATACTTGAGCTTCAAACACAAAATAAAGGGAGATCGTCAGATTCCATCAGCTTTGGGTGAATTTGTCAGTTATCGAGTCAGATTTAAACTTTTCTGAAGAATATTGACTGATCAAAGTACTTTCGATAATCTACTTGGCTTCTAGAAAAATTTTTTCAAAGAACTAAACATGAATCTTTATCGTAACTATTAAATATCCTGGATATGTACTACTGAGGAGTTTTACAATAGGACGAAATGGCCGTCCAGTGCTTCCAGGTTTCCCATGGTGGTCTGGCTTCATGATGTAAACGTTTGAAATTATTAAATATTTGTTAACAGAAGAATCAAGGTTGTGCTTTTCGTCCTAACTCGAACTTGTCAGTTGTATTATTCCAACGATAGATTAATATTAGGTAAGGAATCACTGAAAATCAAAGAATATTGGTTTTCTATTGTCTGATCGTTTGAGATTTAACCGTGTACTCCCAGGTGTCTTAAGTTTCAGGTCAAAAGTCATATCATTCAACCACCTTGTAGGTATCCAATTCATCTAAAAATCATCAACTTCCCACAGTTCACCATATATTAGAATGACCATCCTTGCTAAGGTACAGTCACGATTTTAGATAGGTGGATTTTTACATTAGAACTTCAAATAATACTATTATAACTTGTAATCTGAGTGGCTTGGTAATATATAACGTAATGATATCGCCAAATAAAGGGCAGTGAATTTTATCGATCGAACCAATGACGCTCAAAACCTGTACGAGCAGTCTAGAGACCTTATCGGTCCTGCTTTCTGCCTAAACCAGCCAGTTAAGTCTAGAACACCAATCTCAGCCTCCATGATATGAATCATTTATTTCAAATATACTGAGTTTATATACACCAGCCAAACAGACCACATCGTACCACAAAATAGGAAACAACATGTATACAAGATTTAGCCAAATGTGGATGTGAATGTGGGATTTAGTGATTGATAGACAGGCCATAATTCAAGAATGGTAAATCGTATAATAATCATTCATAGATCAAGATGAAGCTCATAATAAGAGGGATATGAATATGAATAGTTTAGTTACTTAACAATTATATGATAAAAATATACGTATAGTATTGATCCATAAATGGATCCCATAAGTTACCATTCATTATGATTATCGGGATGTAACAAATACATATATACATACTATTGGTAAACTCCGCCTGGAGTTCCTCCGGAGGCTACTGCCGGTCCCAAGCCCGGCTAAAGGAGGAGGGTTGGGTATGAGGTTAGCTATCCCATCCTGTAGAAAACTAACTCGCTAAAAAAGAACGCTAACCAGAAAAAATTATTCAACCCTTTTAGACTCGGCCCTGGAAGTCAGAAGGTCTTATTCTTCTCCATACTATTGATAATTCAATAATATTATATAATATATATTCTAATTTTCTTTTTCTTTTTATAGATTAACTTAAGAATACATATTTATAGACGAGCTATATTCTATACTTATACAGTGATTGCACCAAGTATATTATTATGTATATTAACAATATTCAGTTTTTGGTTACCAAGTGGAAATGTGAAAAAAATCGATATGGGTTTAACAGTATTTCTATTTTTATATTTTCTACAAGTAATTCATAAATTTGATTTCCGTTTCCTTTTTTTTTAAATTATCACTTTACTACTAAATAAGTAGTTTAGATTAGAATGATCATTTAAATTATCAGAAGGGGTTTTGTGGTGATTTTAGAAATTTCACTGGTTGAAATCATGAGTGGTCTAGCTTCAATCATCTGATTACTAGTGACTGACTTCAAGAGATACTCCTAGAGTTCTAGTGAGAAGCACTGACCAGTGGAGTTCAACGAGGTCTGTTGTGAGATATCAACTCACTGAAGACAATGGTGTACGGTGGAGCAACTTCGTGGATTGGTTGAAGTTAGACATCAACACCGTTGGGTGCCGGCTCAGTGGTCTAGTTGGTTAAGCGCTCACGCGCGAGGCTGTTAGGTCCTGGGTTCGAACCTCGTGGGGTGAGGGATCGTGGATGCGCGCTACTGAGGAATGCCATACTGGGACGGAACGGCCGTCCAAAGCCGGTGGTTTCACCAAGTGAGATTATTAAGTTGTTGAATTGGATTGTAAATTGTAATTACATTCTTATTGTCAGTAAGGATAATAATTTCTATCATAGAGATTAACATAAGAGTGAATTATATTTATTATGATGATAATAATGAGTATTCTAATTTATAAACATGTAGTCATAGCAATAAATTATCTTTGAAAGGAAAACATTCTGACATATAAAAATGAATAATAATAATGTATAACTTATAGTATTCCCGTTGAGACTATACTTTATGAATGACCATTGAATGATGCTGAAGTGACCTTGTGAGTATCTACCTAACAACTAGGATCAAATAATGGTTGTAAACTAGTGTGAAGAGTTAGAATTATTTTATTAGTTGAGTTCATGAGTCGGTCAAAGCTAGATCACCATGAAAAATCTAAAAGGGCTGGATGGTTATTTCGTCGTAGTATGGGACTCCTCAGCAGTGCGTATCCACGATTCTACCTCATAAGATTTGAACCCAGGACATATCAGTCTCGCGCGCGAACACTTAACCCGTAGATCACTGAGCCGGCCGGCATCTAACGGTGTTAATGTATAACTTTAACCCTCTCTGATTATAATCATCATATGTTTACTAGTGACGTCCTCCAATAGGTATATCCTGGAGTTCTAGTAAGAAGCAATGACCGGTGGAGTTCAACCGGGTTAGTTGTGAGATTTCATTGTTCTTTTGAATGATATTATCAACTATGAAATATATGTGGAGAAATTCGAACACTTCACTTCTACCTAAAATTTGTGTTGATGATGATATCGTTAAGAAGAACGATGAAAACTCCACAACCAAACCATCCAGCTCAGAGAACAAAACTTTATTAAAATCATCCAATCGAGTTACAAATCATCTTGACCATCTCATCCATCACCTCGAGTCTTAGCTAAAATGAAATCTATACCACAAAATGATTAAATACCTTCTGATCTTTAAATTTATATTCCCTTAAACGTTTTTTTTTTGTTTTATGTTACAGGTAATGATTGCAGAGAATACACCGGAATCAAATTCTACACCATTAATTGGTACATTTCTTACAATGGTTATGACATTAAATTCTATATCATTAATATTTGCTACCATAGTATTACATATACATAGACGTAGTAAAAATGATCCATGTCCAATACCACATCCATTATTATGGCGTCTTATAATTGGTATATTTGGTTATTTAGCAATGATACCATATAAAAAAATGAATCAATATTCTACTCATCTTAATTGTAACCATAACAATTATATAAATAATGATCATATTTCATATAAGCCATATAAAAGAGATTATAGAAAAAGTATAATAGATGAAAGAGATTTGAATGAACATGAACAATTACATAACAGTAATGATCCTATCACTGATAGTAATAATAATAATAATAATAATATTGATCCATACAATCCAACCATAGTTACAAATGAAGAATATTCAAAAGAAGTAAACATTAGACGTTGGTTATATATTGCTAGAGTAGTGGATAGATTATTATTTCAAGTGTATTTAATTACAACAATAATATCAATTTTTGTATTTCTTATATATTTACCAAATTCTTATGATATTAAATTGTAAATAAACTAACATTTTTTTTTATTCTTTAATATTAATCTCTTAATCTAAGTATGTTATTTCTTTTGTTTGTTTTGAATAGATTTTTATTTAGACAATATTAATTACTTACGCCAGTTACTCCTCGTGAAGGAGCATAAGTCGCTCACTAGTATTCTCCATCTAACCCTGTACTGGGCAATCCTTTTCCAACTCTTTTGAGTTGTTATTCATCCTTCTTATTGTCTGTTTCTATTTCATGACGTAATGTGTTCTTTGGTTTTCCTCTTTTCCACTTCCCTTCAGGATTCCAAGTTAGGGTTTGTCTCGTGATGCAGTTTTATGATTTGTGTAATGTATGTCTCATCCATTTTCATCGTCTTTTCCTAATTTCCTCTTCAGCTGGAAGCTGGTTTGTTCTCTCCCACAGAAGGCTATTGCTGATAGTATCCGGCCAATGGATGTTGAGTATCTTGCGTAGACAACTGTTTATAAATACTTGCACATTCTTGATGATGGTTGTAGTAGTTCTCGAACTTTGAGCTCCGTACAGTAGAGCTGCCTTGACATCCGTATTGCAGATTTTCACTTTGATATTGGTCGAAATTTGTTTTGAGTTCCATATGTTCTTCAAGTGTAGGAATATGGCCCTTGCTTTGCCAATCCTCGCCTTTACGTCTGCATCTGAACTTCCTTGTTCATCGATTATGCTTCCCAGGTATGTGAAGGATTCTACGTCTTCCAGAGTTTCGCCATCAATAGCGATTGGAATGCTGTTCTTCGCTTTGAATTTGAGGGTCTTGGTTTTTCCCTTGGGTATTTTGAGGCCTACTGATGCAGAGACTGCTGCTACACTGGCTGTCTTCATCTGCATTTGTTCGTGTGTATGTGGTAGGAGGGTTATATCATCTGCAAAGTCCAAATTAAAATTCATAACGTGAATGTAGTTGTCTGTGCTGGAGTAGTAGTAGTAGTAGTAGTAGCAGTAGTAGTAGTAGTAGTAGTATTTAGTACTGTACTGTTTGTACTGGAGAGATGAGGAGTGTCTAAATTAATTTGGATGTGAAGGTCTGAATCGAAGTGGAACATAAAAAGTTGTGAACCAATGACTCAATAAGTGAGTAGAATAAACTCTTAACTATGAGATTGACGGATAATAATCAGTATGAGATTGTGATAATCCAATGACCAAAACCTTAAGTATTCGTATGAGATTATATCATGATAATTTTAGAAATATTGGATTAATAAAAACTGTTTGTTTTAATCAGTTTCTTTTGTTGATATTTTTTCCATTGTGATTATATTTCAATTAAGGGTCACATTTATATCTTATGTTGAGATCAATTGAAGAAATATTAAAAACTAGGGTAGTGAATATATGTTATGTTTTACTATTGAGGCTATTGATATGTGCAAACCCATGACAATTTCAAGGATTGAACTCTAGACAATCGAGCGCCTATTATAACTCTATATCTTCTATGTTAGACAAATGTTAAAGAAAGTTGAACTTTAGAAATATTCTAGTCTGAAGTTACTATTCATATATTTTTAAATGTGTAATTGTTAAATACTTAAACCATTTTACTTTTGTATTTCTTTGCTTGTAAGCTTTAGGTCGACTCATAAACTATTGTTATGTTTTATCTTTCCCGGTTTATCATTAGTATATTACGGACCAATTACTCAGTCCGCTTTTACTTTTGATGTGTTAGTGTCACATTGTAAATTCTTTAAATCATGTTGATGACCATTTTTTGCTCTATATTGTTGTATGCATGATTAGATGTTATTCGCGTGCCGAGGTTTGGTCTATTCTGGCTATCGGACGACCAAGTGTCGGAAGCTACATTCTGGACTAATAGTCGTTATGTGTGATTTTCTGCTGTGTTAATGGTTAGCCAAAAGTCAGTAGTATTAAATAGACAGTCTAGGTGGATTAAAACAATTCTAGGACTAGCTCAAGACAACTGCTCTCCTGTTATACGGTCATATCATATATACCCAAAAGTTGTTTAACAAGAAATATGGTTCATTTTGACCAATATAACATATCATTAAGTCAGAATCTAGTGATCTACATTCCTGATATCTATTTTATACCTAGTGTGGGATTTATTCTGCCAGCAGATAAATTTCCTGAATAAGTTCCTGTACTGTTGCACATAATGTCTTAGGAGGACTATCATCAAAACTGGCAATTATGTATGCGACCAATAATTATGATCGATCTCTAAAATGTAGATTAATACAGTTAGTATAAAGACACAAAGTGGCACGGCCAATTACAAAAAGGACTATACAAATAAACCTACCAATACATTAGAAGCGATATAATAAAATAGGTCCATGGGAGGATTAGTCATGTTTATATAAAAATTGGTGTAGTTACATGACTGGTAGTCAAATAAAATGAATCGTGATAGAAGCCAGTTTGAGATTAAATGAGTCTTAAGTGGTGGGCGTTTAAGTCAGATGATTTGGTTGATTCACTCTTATGGATTAAGATTAACACCTTACATGTTTGGTCACCACTTAACACAGATTCATGTCAAGACTATGGAAATTCTTCTAAATGTTAGTCACTTATTTACACACAGGTATCATAAGAACGCAACGGCCAACCAGCACTCTTGATTTTCATAATCAAAGTAAGTGGTAAAATCTGGATAATTTCCCTCTTTATACACCATGTCTTTTTGTAAGAAGATAACTTTATATAAATCAGAATTAGACACTATTAGTTTCAGGTTCCTCATGTAAGAAAGTGCCCTGAAGGAAAACAAAAAGGAAAATGATGGGTGCCAAGATCAGTACATCTCATTGTATGTGAGATTAGAAAGATGTTTATTCAGAGAAGGAGGGTATTCATAAGTCTAGTTTGGTTACGGTGGTTGTATCGAGCTCTCACACTAGTTATTTTAGCCTTTCCTGTAGACCAACCAGTGTGTTCTTTCCGAGTCGTTATTCACTCTATTTTAACCTTGTCAGTCATTCTCATTTGAACTTGACCGTTTTTATATGATCTTATGTATATGTTTTTCACTTTTCTTTAGCTCATTTTTAGTCTGACCATTAATAGGGAATCATGCTTTATCGAATCAAGTTGACAAGCTTGGCTTCTCATATTTGCTTCATATTTCTCCCCATCTGTCTATATTACCAGAAACTGTATAGTATTTATCAGCATCTGTATCAATGATTCTTCATCCTGTCAGAAGAAAATAATTATTTTTAGCAGCTTTAAAAACTGTCTCCTGTTCATCATATCCTTCCCGAAAATGATAAAGTGAATCTGAGGCTGTGATACTACAAGAAAGTAGGATTATACAAGAAGGTAACTGCAGGGTCCGCCGTGTAGTACTTTATTTTGTATCAGAGGAAACCTCGACAGCATTGTAGAGGGGAGACATTGCTGAGGTATTTTTCTTTTTCGGTATAAATTGTACCCCAAACACCGCTCATATATCTCGAATTCTGATATCATGGAAATAAAAGGGGGTAATTATTTCATAGAAAACTATAGATTGAGAGAACTTTTTTTTCAAAGAAAAAGAAAACCAACATAACAATAGCTTCCCATTTCATTAAATGATTGATACACAAGGTCATTTCTTTGTTTAAAACATAACTACACACGAAAAACAATACAGAACAGAATGGAACAGAACAGAACAGAACACAATGATATTATGAATAGAGACAGATAAATATAGAGATTTGTTTGTTTGTTTGTTTGCTTTTTATAATTTAGTTGGTGTTTGTGTGTAGAATTTCTGTGTACAAACATAATTAGTAACCCGATGAATCATCATCATCATCATCATCATCATCATCATCATCAACAACACAACATTATTCATTCATTCATTCATTAAAGTACATAGATTGTTCAAATCGATCAATCAATTTTAAGGTTTCTTTCTATATTGGAAGTATAAATAAAGTTTCCATTAATTCTATGTTTATAACTTAAAAGAGAGGTAGTGTTTGATGATGAATGATTAATAATAATATATATATCTATGGGTGTGTGTGGTGTGTGCAAGTGGAAATAACTCTGTCTATCAGAGAGTAACAATACAAACTAGAATTACAATTAAGTGAGTTATAAACCATTAGAGATGGGACTATATTAATAAATATTATGACAAATTTATATTGATCAACACAATAAGAAGAAATCAATATGATCAATAGTAAACAAAAGATGTCAAAATTATTGATTATTTGAAGAAGAAGAAGAAGAAGAAGAAGAAGAAGAAGAGAGGAGGAGGAGGAGGAGGAGAAGGAAATAGAAAGGAAACACAAGATAGTTGGGTTAAAAAAAAAGAATAAATGATGAATAAAAACTACAGGACATTGAAATAAATTTTGTGCCAGAAAGGGTTTTGTGGAAATTTTAGAAATTTCACGGATTGAAATCATGAGTCAATTGAAGCTAGACTACCATGGAAAACCTGGAAGCATTGGACGGCCGTTTCGTCCTAGTATGGGACTCCTCAACAGTGCGCATCTAAGATCCCGTACCTCGCGAGGTTCGAACCCAGGACCTATCAGTCTCACGTCAGGCGCTTAATCAACTAGACCACTGAGCCGGCATCCGACTGTGTTAATGTATAACTTCAACCAATCCACGAAGTTGCGCCACTGTACACCATTGTCTTCAGTGAGGTGAAATTTTACACCAGACCTGGTTGAACTCCACTGGTCTAGTTGGTTAAGCGTCTGGCGCGAGACTGATAGGTCCTAGATTCGAGATCGTGGATACGAGCCGCTGATGAACCCCGTACTGGGACGAAACAGCCGTCCAGTGCTTCCAGGTTTTCCATGGTGGTCTAGCTTCAATTGACTCATGATTTCAATCAGATAAATTTTGTACTTTGTTAACCAAGGTCATGACTAGACATTGATTATTTCACATATTTTCTACTAAAAATCAAGAAGAACTAGAACTAAGGTGTTTCATCTTAGTATTTTAGGAGTAGTCAGCAGTGCAAATTCATGATCTCACTGATGAT